CACGTGTGGGTGGCCCACGTGCACCCTGCTCCCCTCGCTTCTGATCCCCAACTCACCTTTATAGATGAACTACAGTCACAAGCTTTCATGAATTTGAGTTCACTTTATCAGATGCTGTTAAAGTACAGCATAGAGTTTGGAATAAAGTAGAGTGCATGTAATACACCAACATAACTTTTCTGCAGGACGCCTCTTCTCCCTCACCCCTCAAGTTCTCAGGCTGTGCAGAAACGGAAACCCAATTCCAAAAGGTTTCCTTTTAGAGATCCGCAAAGGGAGCTGTATCGTCTTGTAAGTAGTGTAACACAAGATTCTTCTTGCTGCACCTCTGTTTTTAGTAAATGTTTTGTCAGTGGAATGTTCCAATATATTTTTCACTCATTTTTAAGCCTGGGGTTAGACATAAGTGTGAAGAAGCATTCTTCATGTAATGATTTCTCTTGCATCCACAGATTACAATCAGGCACTCCTAGACACTGACTCAGTTTCCAAGATTACCTTCTTTCCTGCAAGTTCTTTTATGAATGAATCCTTTAAGCGCGCACTTCTGATGCAAGATGTAACTAAACTGTTAGGTATTTCCTTTGAGATGGAGGAAACACCTGAGCAAATTTAAATTAAGAAAAGGGGATGAAAAAATATTCCACATACTGTCTTTTCATGCTATATCAGAAGCCTGTGAAGAATAGCTCCTTGACCAGAGTATCTCTAGGTATACATTAAAAATTATTTCAGTTACCACTCATACTTCTCAGGAAGTGATTATATTTCATACTGATCAGATCCTTGACTAGCGAGCAAGAGAATTTTGAGATTATTAACTTGTTCTGAAGATGGCAATAAAGGCATGTTGAATATACCTCTCACCTTTGGGATGTGGCAATATAATATCTGTAACTAATGTTCTGAGAATGACTGTAGAAATATTTGTTTAAAAGTGAAGGCTTTCTAGACTAAAAAGCCTGTATATGTATTATCTGAAGATATATATTTTTAAAGCAGACATTAGTACTACTTACTTAGCAGCCCAGGGTAAATCATACTGAAATAGAATTAATTGTTTGCTTTCCTTTCTGTAAAGTTCCTTGACCCATTTTAGGTTTATTGAGTATAATAGACATTTTAAAGTGATGTTCTAAACAAAAGAGGGTTCTGGTTTGGAATAAATTGACTTATTCAATATGGGAGTTATTCTTTTCAGGAGGTATTGTAAAAATATCTGTCAAGACAGTTTAGGAATTATTAATCTGTTTGTGTTAGTATAAGGAGGATCATAAGCCTAGGACAGGGGTGGGCA